TTTCACTTTAATTTAACCATTTTTTCTTTTAGCTTCTATTCCCTCCAATTTTTTTCAAGTTCTCTTTTAGCATGCAAGATGAAAATTTTAACGAGTCTGTGTTGGACATATATGGGTGTGTGTTTATTTGAAAAAATTCAGATAAAATGTACACACACGTACGCATACATATACTTCTTACCTGTGAAGGAATTCTTAGACTCACCAAATGTTTCTAAATATTTTATTTATTAACAAAATTGACTGAATTAGGTTTATCATCTCACATCACCACCAGAAATAAGGAAGCAGAGGATCAGGGTGATTACATGTATTCTTAATTTCTGTATGGCTCCTTTAATTCAGAAAAGTTGGCATTTTAAATACATTAAGTTTATTTCATTCATTCACTCCAATAAGTTATTTAAAATTAAAACAATTTGTTAGAACCAATAAATGAATTCACTAACATTGCGGGATACAAAGTTAATTTACAGAAATCTGTGGTGTCTAATAACAAACTGTTAGAGAGAGAAATTAAGAAAATAATCCCACTTACAACTGCATCAAAAAGGATACAATACTTGGAGTAAACATAACCTAGGAAGTGAAAGACCTGTACACTGAAAACTATAACATATTGCTGAATGTTATTGAAGAAGATGCAAAAATGGAAAGGTATACTGTGGTCACTGACTGGAAGAATTAATATTGGCATCACTCATGCTAAAAGTACAGGATGCCAAACCCAGATTTAATACTGGATCTAATGGAGGTGTCTACATCTCCCAGAAATACATTTTTAATCAACCAGGTTGGAATCTTTTGGTCAAGTACCAGCAAGGTAATCTGTCACATGGGCCCTCTCCATCCCTGTAGAAAGAAAGAATCTGCATGAGAAAACCCTCTTGTTCTCCTCTCCCAAAGAAAAGATGTCAAGGCCCCCCGCCCCAAATTTCTTCTTTTCTGTTATTAAGAGCTCCCTTATGCCACTCTTTTTTTTTTTCTGTAAGAACCTACTTTTGTACAACCCTTCAGAAATTTCTCTTACTTGTTAGGTGGGATGCTGTCTGATTCATGAATCAGTTATTAAAGCAAATTAGATATTCAAATTTACTAGATTGAATTAAAAAATACTCAAAGCAATCCATAGATTCAATACAATCTCTATCAAAATTCCAATGTCATTTTTTCACAGAAATAGAACACACAATTCTTAAACTTGTAGGGCACTACAAAAAATTCTGAATAGCCAAAGCAATCTTGAAAAAGCAAAACTAACCTAGAAGCATCATGCTCACAGGTTTCAAACTACATAAAAACCTATAGTAATTAAAGCAGTACAGTACTGGCATTAAAAAAGAAAATGTCCATACTACCCAAAGCAATCTATAGATTCAATGCAATCCCCATTAAATTACCAATGGCATATTTCACAGATCTAGAGCGAACGTTCCAAAAATTCATCTGGAATAAAAAAAGACCTCGAATAGCTGCAGCAATCCTGAGAAAGAAGAACAAAGTAGGTGGGATCTCAATACCAGATATCAAACTGTATTACAAAGCCACTGTACTTAAAACAGCTTGGTACTGGCACAAGAACAGACATATAGGTCAATGGAAAAGAATAGAGAACCCAGAAATCGACCCAAACCACTATGCCCAATTAATATTCGACAAAGGAGGCAAGAGCATACAATGGAGTCAAGACAGTATCTTCAATAAATGGTGTTGGGAAAATTGGACAGATACATGCAAAAGGATGAAACTAGACCACCAACTCACACCATACACAAAAATAAACTGAAAATGGATAAAAGACTTACACGTAAGACGGGAAACCATAAAAATACTAGAGGAATCCAGTGAAATCACTAGCGCAAACATATGCTGAAGGAATTTCTTCTCTGATAATGCTCCTAGGGCAATGGAAACTAAAGAGAAAATAAACAAACGGGACTACATCAAAATAAAAAGCTTTTGCACAGCAAAGGAAACCATCAACAAAACAACAAGAAGACCCACTACTTGGGAGAACATATTTGCCAATGATATCACCGATAAGGGTTTAATCTCCAACATTTA